TCTTCTTCTATTGTGGTCTTTAAAGCAAACATTGATTTGCCTGCTTTAATTTTCCACTTCCGCAAGACGCCGTTAGCATCTTCCGCTGCCGGTTGTGTAGCTTCACTACCACCGACAACCTCCCACAAGTCTTGACCTTGAAGGTAAGACTCTATACACGTTGCCCACGTGTTATAGTTTTGGTTGTTGAGCTTCTTGATTCCTCCAACAACTTGAAGATCACCCATCGTATCGGCAAGACTTTGACTACACCGAACAAGCTTGAGTGACTACCGTGCAGAGTAATACACTACTCTCGACACAAAGAAGCTCCCTCTCAAGGTTTGTGATAACCCCAGCAATAATCTCAAGAAACCTTTTCTGATGTGGAAGATCAGTCAAAACTGCAACCACAGAGCATACTCGGAATTCCAAGAGACTTTACAACCAATGCTCTACCAAGACCGATCCCTGACCGACTTGGCTCTGATACCAATTGTTGAATAAGAAGAGTATCCAAGATAACTCTAATGATCCCAAGAAGAAGAAAATAGAACACACTCTTAAAGAAAGCTCACAAAACAAACTAATTAGCAAAGCTTTTCTTATTTAGCTCTAGGCTTTGTTTTTCCTTGGATGATTTACAATGCTTGAGAACTTGGGTATTTATAGCAAACCAAATGAATAAACTAAGATTATTTATTACCACACAAAACACATTAATTTCACCTAATTTATTTTTATTCAACCATGCCTAACATTGCCTAATTTTCCATACCTAACTTTGACATTGATTTTCAACATCTTTGGCATTGATTTTCAACACTCCCCCTGGTATCAGAAAGATGTGGGTCCCTCCACCATGCAACGTTACCTCGTGCATTACTTATCACATTTTCATGTTAACTTCCCCTAAGTTGTGTTAAGAAATTGGTCTTAAAAGAGGCTTATTACTTTCTTTTTCTCTGTTTCAGCCAATCTGCGCATACATGACGTTTTTGGTGATAATTCGATTTGCCGGAGGAGTTTTGATGCAAGGCCAATTGGAGAAGGAAGCTAAGAGGAGGAAAATCTTTGTGTCCAAATTTCGTAATTTTTCATGGAGCCAAACATTCCAGTTTTGCAAATCAATCTCGCAGAAGTAACTTTCCCGTCAGAACTGCGCAGCTGTGGGAGAATAAAGATTTGGAGGCTTTCCCGATTTTTACTAGTGCCCTGCAATATATACTTGGAAAGATGAGAGATCAAGCTACGTTTCCTATATTGTTACAGAATTTTCCAGCAGGGAAATCGACTCCAAATCTGGCGTGTAAATCAGATGCCATGTTTCCCAAGTCAAGAAGGATTCTTTCCTAGTTTGTGTCATTAATTATTTAGGAGTTTGTTTTCTTTTAGGATAGTTTTTATCAGACTTTTGAGGGTTTCCCTAGAATAAATAGAGGGCCTTAGGCTATCGAAAGGGAGGAAATACACAAAAGAGAGGATTATTCGAAAGTGAAGGAGAAAAGCTTAGCATGCTCTTACCTTTTTTTTTTCCGGGTTTATTTCTTCTATGACTTCTTTTGTGATTTTTATTATGACTATGTGTAACTAAATTACTTTTCTAAGGTTTATGACGAAGCCATGACATGATTATTCCCGAAGTATTTTGTTGATTATTGTTCGATTACATGCCATGTTTAGTTCTTAATTTTTGTGCTTAGTCTATTCTAGTTTCAAATGTTCTTGTGACTAGCCATCATTGTAAACTTGTTTCTAGATATTTAGATAAATCTGAGAGGATAACCAATATCAATTAGGTTTATTGGAACTAAGATTAAGAAGGGTGGACAAACTAGTGAGGATGACCAATATCAAACTAGTCCTACTTGGTTGACATTATTCTTCAGTGCTTAATGGGTTTTTATGTGTTTAACTGTATGCCTAACCAATAGGATATAGTTATCACATATAGACACACAAGTTGATGTCTGACCAAGGATTAATTCATATATTAGAAAGAACAACCTTAAATATTGGCATGGTAATTGGATAGTAATCGGCTTGAAGAAAAGGGAATAGGATTCTTATTGGTGGATTCTTGACCTTAGGCTTCCATCACATTAATTTCTTTTAAACTACATTCGTTGTGTGTTTTTGGTTATTCATATTCTTGGTTTAATTTTAAGCTGGAGTTTTAATTATTTTTCATAATCAATTAATCAATCATTTGTTTCGTAGTTAAGTTTCACGTAATCAACTGGTTGAATTGGTGTTAAAAGAAATCCATGTGGGATCGACCTCGTATTTGCAAATATTTCTACAATTGATTCATGCGCTTGCGAGTTTAATTTGGTTTAAATTAATCTATTATTTATGTTAGTTTAAATACACATCATGTTTTTGGCGCCGTTGCCAGGATTGCCCCTTAATCCCAACTCAGCTTGTTGATTACACTTTACTTAATTGATTTTATTTTATTTTATTTTTACCTTGTTTCTGTTCTTTATCTTGTTTTTATTTTCATATTAAAAAAAAAAATCGCTGATCGCATAAATCTTTAATTGTCAATTAGACTTTTCCTTGTTTGACTGTTAGTGTTCGGTTATCATTGTTTCGTAGCTACCTTCTTCTTTTGGCTTTTAGTTTTCCTATACCGCTCCCAGTCTTCTAGTCTTCCAATTGGAATTTTGTTTCTACCATTAACCAACATCGGTTTCTTACTAGCTTGGCCAAGTCTTTTCATTCTCCTTTAGCTAGTTGGAGTCAGTTTGTTTGTGGTGTAATCCGTGTGTTATTAGGAATTGGACTTCTCTGGTTCGCTTTTTCTTTGTGTTCATTCAAATTAATCGCTGTTTGTATTAATCATCATCAGTTCTACTGCAGCGCATTCGCAAGCATATTACTGAAATTATTCTTTGGTTCCTTGCAGGTGAATGATTGATACTCGTTCCTCAGAAAGTCAGCTTGTGGAATTCGAACCAGAAATTGAACAAAAGCTCAAGCAAATTCACAAAGAACAAAGGGAACAAAGAGAAGAGAAGGTTAAGGAGAAGAGCAAACAGGAAGAGATGGCTGCGAACGGCAATAACGATGGTGCACCTCGAACCATTCAAGATTTCTCTATGCCGCAATTTTCTTCTCGACAATCATGCATAATTTATCCTCAACTTGATGCTGCTACTTCTTATGAGATCAAAGATTATGTTATTAACTTGTTGCCCAAGTTTTCTGGTGATGAGAATCAAGATGCTAGTGAACATGTAGATAATTTTCTGGATATTTGTGGGACACAGAACATTAAAGGCGTCTCTGATGAGTTCATTCACCTAAAGCTTTTCCCTTTCTCTCTCACGGGTGATGCTAGCACCTGGTTCAAGACTCTGCCAGCGAGATCAATTACCTCTTGGACTCAACTTTCTAGTAAGTTCATTCAAAAATTTTACACTCAGTCTAGAACTCAGAGGTTGAGGGATCACATATTTCACTTTAGGCAGAACAAGGGAGAACCACTTTTTCAAGCATGGCAGAGATTTAAAGCTTTGATAATTAGTTGTCCACACCATCAGTTTTTACCATGGCAACTAATTTTATACTTTAACCAACGCTTGAGTGATGAATGTCGTCATAGATTGGATGCCACAGCTGATGGTAATATATTGGGTAAAGAACCAGAGCAAGTTACTACTATCATTGAGAATGTTGTTGCAAATTCATCACAATGGGATAGTAGAGAGTTAAATCGGAATTCTGCATATGAAGTAAGTTCATCTAATGAGGTGGTTGCATTGTCAAGGAAATTAGATGCTATGGTGACTATGTTATCCAAGAATGCAGAACCGTGTGGGATTTGTGCCGCTCAGACCCATCCTACTCATCATTGTCCTCATAGTGGTACTTGTCCAGAAGTTGCAAAGGCTCCGTCAAAGAAACTATCCATTCTCAAATACTTATAATCCAGGATGGAGAGAGCATCCTAATTTAGCTTGGAAGAATAATTTTAACCAAGGATCCAAGCCATGGCAACAAGGAGCAACGCTTATAGAACCCAAGAAACTTTCTTGGGAAGAAGCTATTGCTCTGATGGTTCAAGCTAATACGCAATATTAACAAACCACCTCTCAAGTTTTGCAAGCTCTCCAACAAGGGCTGCAGGCTCTCCAACAAGGGCTGCAAGTATATAGTCAAGCCATCGGCAAATTGGAAGCACAAGTCTGTCAAATTGCTACAGCAATGAGTGAAAGAGAATCGGGGCTTTTTCCAAGTCAACCCGAAGCTAATCCATGAGGCAACGATCAAGTTAATGCCATTATAACATTGAGGAGTGGTAAACCTTATGATATAAGGGAAGAAAGTGCAGAACCAAAGGACCAAGAAGAGAATGACAAAGAAGCAGCTCCACTACCTTCTTCACCACTCGCTGCACCTACTCATGCTCCAAAGTTGAAGAATTATGATCCTCCGATGTCTTTCCCGCAGTGATTTCAGAGGCAGAGAAATGACAAGCATATGTTAGATATATTGGAGCAATTTAAAAAGGTTTAAATCAACATTCCATTACTCAATGCTATAGCGCAAATTCCATCGTACGCAAAATTTTTGAAGGTCTCTGCACAAACATGAGGAAATACAGACCATGAGAAGATTGAGCTTACAAATTGTTGCAGTGAGGTTTTGATCACAAAGATGCCTCCAAAATTACAAGATCAAGGGAGTTTCACTATCCCATGTGTTTTTGGTGATTTTAAATTTAATAAAGCTTTCTTAGACCTTGGTTCCAGTGTTACTCATGCCATTTTCTATTTATGAACAGCTAGGTATTGGAGAGCTACGAAGAACATCCGTCTCTTTGCAATTGGCTGATCGATCAGTGACTTATCCCAAAGGCCTTGTTGAGGACGTTTTGATCAAAGTAGACAAATTCATATTGCCAGCAGATTTCCTTGTGCTTGACATGAATTAAGACCAAAACATTCCTATTTTACTTGGTCGTCCTTTCCTTGCAACCGCTGGAGCTTTAATTGATGTCAAAGCAGGCACACTCAAGCTGCAAGTTCAAGGAGAATCCATAGAATTCAAGATGTTTGAAGCACTTAAGTTACCAGCCGAAATAGAAGAGTGCAGCAGCATCGAGCTTATCGCTCCCATTGACAATGCCAACTTCTTGGAGAATGTCTTGGCAGATTTATTGAAGACATGTATTGAATATCCAGAGTTAAATATTGAAGGAAGAGGCATCCATGGACATAATTGCAGCCCTAAATTCGTTCCCCATTCATGCACCAAAATGGCAGCAAGCATGGGAGCCTCTAGGACCAGCGTTACCACATATATTGCCATCCATTGAGCAATCTCCTGAATTGGAACTTAAGTTGCTACCTGAGCACTTAAAGTACGTTTTTCTTGGTGAATCCAAGACACTTCCAGTGATCATTGCAGCTGAATTAAGTCATTACGAAGAAGAGCAGCTGTTACATGTGCTAAAAGAGTATAAAACGGTTTTGGGAAGGACTATTGCGGATATCAAAGGCATAAGCCCAACCATGTGTATGCACCGAATATTTTTGGAGGAGAATTCCAAGCCAACCATAGAAGCACAGCTAAGATTAAATCCCAACATGAAGGAGGTTGTGCGTAAAGAAATGTTGAAGCTCTTAGACGTTGGTGCGATCTACCCAATTTCGAATAGCAAGTGGATTAGTCCAATTCAAGTAGTTCCAAAGAAAACTGGAATCACCGTGGTCAAGAATGAAGACAATGAATTGGTACCAATGAGGTAGACAACTGGGTGGAGAGTGTGCACTGACTATCGCAAATTGAACTCTTCTACTCGCAAGGATCACTTTCCTTCACCTTTTATTGATCAAATGCTTGAAAGGTTAACAGGTCACTCACATTATTGTTTTCTTGATGGTTACTCAGGTTATAATCAAATTGCAATTGCTCCAGAGGACCAAGAGAAGACAACTTTCACATGCTCCTATGGAACCTTTGCATATAGACACATGCCATTCGGTTTATGCAATGCTCCAGCCACATTCCAACGGTGCATGATAAGTATTTTTTTTTATATGTTTGAAAGAATTATTGAAGTCTTTATGGATGATTTCTCTGTTTATGGTTCTTCTTTTGATCATTGTTTGGCAAATTTGAAATTGGTGTTGGAAAGGTGTAAGGAAACTAACCTTGTTTTGAATTGGGAGAAATGTCAGTTTATGGTTAAACAGGGAATTGTGTTAGGCCACTTAATATCAATCAAGAGAATTGAAGTTGACAGGGCAAAGATCGATTTGATAGCGAAATTACCGCCCCCTACATCTGTGAAGGGAGTGAGGTCTTTCCTTGGACATGCCCGATTTTATTGACGCTTCATCAAAGACTTTTCCAAGATTAGTCATCCTGTTGTGCAATCTTCTTGCCAAAGATACTCCATTTGATTTTAATATTGATTGTTTACATGCTTTTAATTCTTTGAAACAACTTCTCACTTCTGCACCTATTATTACAGCTCTGAATTAGAGCTTACCTTTTGAACTAATGTGTGATGCTAGTGATTATGCAGTGGGTGCTGTTTTAGGACAAAGAAAATAGAAGCTTCCTCATGCCATCTACTACGCAAGTCGAACTTTGAATGATGCGCAATTGAACTACACCACCACAAAGAAAGAGATGCTCGTTGTAGTCTTTGCTTTGGAGAAGTTTTGATCGTATCTCATTGGCTCAAAAGTGATTGTATACATTGATCATGGAGCAGTCAAGTACCTATTGGCGAAAAAAGATGCAAAACCTCGACAAATCCGGTGGGTGTTGCTCCTGCAAGAATTTGATTTGGACATTTGAGACAAGAAATGAGCTGAGAATGTAGTAGCACATCACTTATCTCACCTTCCACATGTCCAAGATGAAGAAGAGGACGTGCTGCCCTTAAATGACAATTTTCCAGATGAACAACTTTATGCCATCAAGGATGTTGTCCCTTGGTATGCAGACATCGCCAATTATCTTGTTCGTGGAGTCCTACCCCCTGATGTGAGCACTCAACAAAGAAAGAAGTTTCTCTCTACAGTGAAGTTTTATTTCTGGGACGATTTATATCTCTACAAATATTGCTCAGATCAAGTGATATGACGCTGCGTGCCTGCTCTGGAACAAGAAAGCATTCTGAAATTTTGCCATAGTTACGCATGTGGAGGGCACTTTGGGCCAAGTAAGACAGCTACTAAGGCTCTACAAAGTGGATTTTTCTGGCCTACACTCTTCAAGGATGCATATTTGTTTTGCTTAATGTGTGATCGGTGTCAACGGTTAGGCAACATATCGAAGAAAAATGAGATGCCGCATTAGAGTTTATTGGTTGTGGAGCTCTTTGACGTATGGGGAATCAATTTTATGGGTCCCCTTCCTTCTTCATTCAACAACCAATACATCCTTGTCACTGTAGATTACGTATCCAAGTGGGTAGAAGCTATTGATGCCCCAACTAGTGATCATAAAGTGGTGCTGCATTTTCTGCAAGGTACCATTTTTCCCAGGTTTGGCACACCTCGAGTGATTATTAGTGATGACGGTCCACACTTTCACAACAAAGCCTTTGCTACCCTTATGGTGAAATACAACATTAATCATCGTGTTGCTACTTCGTATCATCCACAAACAAGTGGGCAAGTTGAGATTTCAAATTGAGAGATCAAGAAGATTTTAGAAACAATGGTAAATGCACCGCGCAAAGACTAGTCTCTCAAGCTTAATGATGCCTTGTGGGCATATAGGACAACGTATAAAACGCCTATTGGAATGTCTCCTTTCCGTTTGGTGTATGGCAAGGCTTGTCATCTTCCTGTCGAATTGGAGCATAGAGCTTATTGGGCTATCAAGAGGTTGAACTTTGATTACCAAGCTGCAGGAGAGAAGAGAAAGCTTCAGTTGAATGAGCTTGAAGAATGGCGAAACGAGGCTTACGAAAATGCCAAAATCTACAAGGAAAGTACCAAAAAGTTTCATGACAAAGCCATTATTCGAAAGAAGTTTGTACCTGGTCAGAAAGTCTTGCTCTACAACTCCAGACTGCGTCTTTTTCTAGGAAAACTGCGTTCTAAGTGGATTGGTCCCTTTGAAGTGACTCAAGTTATGCCTCATGGTGCCATTGAAATAAAGAATTTGCAAAATGAAGAGTTGTTCAAGGTTAATGGGCACCGTCTCAAGCACTACTTGGATACGACTTTATCAGAAATCAAAGAAGTTGCGTACTTTGAGGACCCATCATCTGTCACTCCTTAGACGTCCGACATAGTCTAGCTCATGACTATAAAGAAGCGCTTCTTGGGAGGCAACCCAAGCTTTCTAAACTTTTCTTTGATTTTTGTAATTTTTCATTTTAGTTTATTTTTGTTGGAGTAAGTTTTAATTCCTTTCATGCTTGCAAGAATGGTGGTCTGCAATGAACCAGTTTGGGGGGAGTACATTACAAAGCATGACGTCACACGGTCAACATTGCTCATGCATGTTTCACTGAAAAATCCCAGGAAGTTTTCATACCCTACCTTTAAATGTGTTATTTGTTTTGTTTTCTTTGTTTTACACATTGATGACAACGTCTGTTTCCAGTTTGGGCGAGGATGTCGATCTCTGTTTTTGTTTAGTGTTCAAGATGTCTATGTTTGCGTAAAACTGTATTAACTGGGAAAGAATTTGAACATTTTGTCTGCGCTGTGTTCTTCAATTTTTTGTCTTCTTTCCAGCCATATAAAGACTTTGAAAATCGGATTTTTGTGTCAAAAGTTATGATCAAATCTCTGTCTGAAGGTCAAAATTGCCTGTGACATTATCATATTTGCTCCGTGCTGTTTGCAACCTCTGTTGGCATATGTTCTTTTCCTCTGTTTATTTGTTTTGCATTGTGTTTTTTATATTTAAGTTTTAATTCCATAAAAATAAAAAAATTGTCAAAAAAATTAAAAAAAAAAGATTTATTTTTCTTGAGTCGTTTTGTTAGACCTTCCATAAGTCAATGATAATAAGTTGCTTTCTTCTAGGTCACAAACTTATTTGAATTTGTTCTTTTTATGTGAAAATTCAATGTTTTATATGGTTAATCCGATTCTTACATGATCATTCTCAAGTTTATTTTATACCAATAACCAATGTCAGTATGATTATCTCCTACTTAGAGAATTATATGTGGATTTTAAGTGAAAACTTATTGAACCCTTGTGAGATTTTGAGCCTCTTGTCTATTCTTTCTTGTGAGTTTCATGATAGCATTATCATTCGCTAGAACTTGCTTCAATATCTCTCAAGGCGAAATCCTAAGTCATGCAACACTAGGGAGATGATTTAGGCCATGTTTGGATTGTTTGAGCCTTTCTAACCAACCTTTTATGTTATATTATCCCTACTTACCCTTTTGAAGCCAAACACTTAAGTCTTTTCTTTCATCACCCACATTCATCCCTACCCATTTCGCCTATATTAGCCATTCCCTATAGCTTAAGGAATACCAAGGGGACGTCGACGAAAATAAGGTTGGGTTCTACAACAAAGATGTGGCGTTTACCGAGGTACCATGTGTAGTATTATCTTTATTTCCGAAAAGAAAGAAAATAAAAATTGTCAAAGAAATGAGGAAATAAAAGTTTGAAATTGTTCCATCCTTACATCGTGAGTCCTGGACGCCAATAATAGAAGATCCAAGTTTCAAAAAGGACTGACTGAAAGTATATTATGAAGATACTTTGGTATTTATTAAGCTTTAGTTTTTCCATATCCTTTCTTTGATAGCTCTTACCCTAGCCTATTGTTATAGCCCTTGTAAAGACCTTTGATCTTTGGTGTTGCATTGACTTACATTAGTGGAGAGTTGATATGAAGAGCAAGCTTATGGGATTTTATCCTGCTTATCATGATTTGAGTGAAACACTTTGCCCTTTAATGTGTGATTTCTTTATGAGTGATATTCATGGTAGAGGATTTGAAGTGGAAGCTTTGGTTTGCATATACCTATCCGGGTTGAGTAAGTTGTATTGATATTGGCTATGTCACTCATTACACTTGAGAATGCTATGTAAGGCTTGGTTAATTTGATTTCGAAAAATGTTTAATTCTCTTAAGTTTGGTGACAGTCTCTAGATTGCTTTGAGGCTAATGTATGGAAGGTCTATTGTTTTCCTTGTCTTTTATTTTGTTTTGCTCGAGGACTAGCAAAAGCTTTGTTTGGGGGTATTTGATAGGTGCACTACTTATCACATTTTCATGTTAACTTCCCCTAAGTTTTGTTAAGAAATTGGTCTTAAAAGAGCCTTATTACTTTCTTTTTCTCTGTTTCAGCCAATCTGCTCATACAGGACGTTTTTGGTGATAATTCAATTTGCCGGAGGAGTTTTGATGCATAGCCAATTGGAGAAGGAAGCTATGAGGAGGAAGATCTTTGTATCTGAATTTCATAATTTTTCATGAAGCCAAACATTCCAGTTTTGCAAATCAATCTCTTAGAAGTAACTTTCCCGTCAGAACTGCGCAGCTGTGGGAGAATGAAGATTTGGAGGCTTTCCCGATTTTTACTAGTGGCGTGCAATATATTCATGGAAAGATGAGAGATCAAGCTATGTTTCCCATATTTTTACAGAATTTTCTAGCAGGGCAATCGACTCCAAATCTGGGGTGTAAATCAGATGCCGTGTTTCCCAAGTCAAGAAGGATTCTTTCCTAGTTTGTGTCATTAATTATTTAGGAGTTTGTTTTCTTTTAGGATAGTTTTTATCAGACTTTTGAGGGTTTCACTAGAATAAATAGAGGGCCTTAGGCTATCTAAAGGGAGGAAATACACAAAAGAGAGGATTATTCAAAAGTGAAGGAGAAAAGCTTAGTGTGCTCTTACCATTTTTTTTCCTGGTTTATTTCTTCTATGACTTCTTTTGTGATTTTTTATTATGATTATGTGTAACTAAATTACTTTTCTAAGGTTTATGATGAAGCCATGACATGATTATTCCTGAAGTATTTTGTTGATTATTGTTTGATTACATGCCATGTTTAGTTCTTAATTTTTGTGCTTAATCTATTCTAGTTTCGAATGTTCTTGTGATTGGCCATCATTGTGAACTTGTTTCTAGATATTTAGATAAATCTGAGAGGAAAACCAATATCAATTAGGTTTATTGGAACTAAGATTAAGAAGAGTATACAAACTAGTGAGGATAACCAATATCAAACTAGTCCTACTTGGTTGACATTATTCTTCAGTGCTTAATGGGTTTTTATGTGTTTAACTGTATGCCTAACCAATAGGATATAGTTATCATGTATAGACACACAAGTTGATGCCTGACCAAGGATTAATTCATAAAATAGAAAGAACAACCTGAAATATTGGCATGGTAATTGGATAGTAATCGGCTTGAAGAAAAGGGAATAGGATTGTTCTTGGTGGACTCATGATCTTAGGCTTCCATCACATTAATTTCTTCTAAACTACATTCGTTGTGTGTTTTTGGTTATTCATATTCTTGGTTTAATTTTAAGCTGAATTTTTAATTATTTTTCATAATCAATTAATCGATCATTCGTTTCGTAGTTAAGTTTTACGTAATCAACTGGTTGAATTGGTATTAAAAGCAATCCCTATCATCACAACTCACAAGACTATCATCACAACTCACAAGACAAAAAACAAGTTCACATCAAAGTGGGATGGACCTTACGTAATACAAGAGGTTTACACCGACGGCGCATACTTAATTATAGCGGAAGACGGCTTAAAGATTGGCCCCATCAATGGGAGATTCTTAAAGCGTTACTAGCCCTAAACCAAACAAACAATGCTCCTCGCCTGGATGAGGCTAAACTACACACGCAACAATGCTCCTTGTTCTCACGAGCAAAGTGGGATGAACCCTACGTAATACAAGAGGTCTACACCAATGGTGCATACTTAATCATAGTGGAAGACGGCTTCAAGATTGGCCCCATCAATGGCAGATTATTAAAGCGTTACTACCCCTAAACCAAACAAACAATGCTTCTAGCTTGGATGAGCCTAAACTACACACGGCAACAATGCTCCTTGTTCTCACGAGCTTAAAAGGTGACACACAATGCTCCTCGCCTGCATGAGCCTAAACTGCACACAGCAACAATGCTCCTTGTTCGCACGAGCTTAGAAGGCGACACTCAATGCTGCTTATTTCGCACAAGCTTAAAAGGCAACACTCAATGCTTCTCGCCTGCATGAGCCTAAACTGCACATGGCACAATACTTCTTGTTCGCACGAGCTTAAAAAGCAACACTCGATGCTCCTTGTTTGCACGAGCTTAAAAGGCGAAACCCAATGCTCCTTGTTCGCACGAGCTTAAAAGGCAACACTCAACGCTTTTGGCCCATAAGAGCATAAGCTGTGTACAGAAAAATCACCATCAAAACCGTCAAAATTCATCACTCCTTTGAACTACGTCATGACTTGATCCCTCCTCAAGTACAGTCACATCATCAACAAAGACACAAATACTTTGAAGAATAAAGAGCAAATTCAAGAATGTGAATACTTATTTCTTTAAAGGAAGAATTCGGCTACAAAGCCGTATTACAAAATGAGCAACAAAACAAACAAGGCAACATAAGCATAAAAGTGGGGCGGCAAGAAGAAAAAAATTGCTTCACTAAAGCAAAAGACATGCGAGATAAACCTCATGAGCGTTAAAGGATGACAATGACAAAGTCACAACGATGAAAAGAAATCAGCCACAAAACTTGAGCAGTATGGCAAAGAGGGCAGCTACAAGACGGTCCTTCAAAGCATGCTACAGTAGCAAAGAAAACCAAAATGTTATGCAATCGCACTATGCAACCCCGCAACGATTACGCAAGTAATTTCTTACACTGCATGTGATGCGAGTTTTATACGCGCACAAATTAAACCCTCTTTTCGTCAATTGTAGTAAGTATGTAAGTAGGGATCGTTCTGGACCGGGGATTAGGAGGGATTGCTAAAACCTTGGAAACTGACTCAAAAACGTAAAAACAAGATAAAACACTAAACTAGACTCAAAGAATGTGAAACTAAACGTTAAAACACTAAGACAAACCAAAAGACTCAAAATGCTTTAAAAACACAAACTAAATTGATTTCTAACTAAATTGAACAATAAAGTAAAGGGGGGTTGGATTTGGACGACTTTAAACTAAAAATGGAAACTTGGAAATAAAACAAATTGTAATTATGGATTTGACGGAAATGAATGGATGGGAAGCTAGCTAAGGGGTTCATCTCCACATATGTTATACTTGCATACAAAACGATGTCTAATTGCTTTTCAATAAACCATGAATTCTCAACGCCCCGGGTTAATTAGGTCTGCTTAAATTAACCGTCAAGTTTTCCTTAAATTAATGAATTGGATGATTGCATACGACAATCCAAAGCATTCCTCACAAGTTCCCTACATGAATTGCATAATAGAGATACAAGCAAGAATCATTAAGCATCATGAAAACTATAAGTGTTGACGAGGCATTCGTTACTATGATTGCATGAAACTTATGCCAAGAATATGTTTAACACGATTGTTTATAAGCAACCTCCACTAGTTGTGAATATAAGTTCATAACTATTACGTGAAACTCACTTATATTCTAGCGTCAAATTCATGCATGAAAATTAAGCGTTCATTCTTAATAAACATACATAAATAGGTTATCAATTAAACAGTTAAACAAATTGAATTCACAACTTATGAAACGTAATTAAAAGTAATCAAATCATATTACAAACATAAACATAGTTTCGAATCACCCCCTAGCTAAAGGGGGTTTAGTTCCTCATAACTTTGAAATCAAAGAAACACCTAAACATTCCAACAACTCAAAACTTGAATTGTATGAACGTTTAAGCACCCTTCTCTTCCATTCCTTATACGTACAAAACAAAGAGAATTAAAATGAAACTTTGAAATCAAAGAAACACCTAAACATTCCAACAACTCAAAACTTGAATTGTATGAACGTTTAGGCACTCTTCTCTTCCTCGTTGTTGTAGCACAAGGTTTAAGGATAGGTTGGTTGATGGGATGGAAGTGTGGAATGGAGTGGAAATGGAGAAAATGGAGAAGGGGAAGTGTTTGTGTATTACAATGGAAAATGAGATGATTTGGTGAATGGAATGAATGGGTATTTATAGGAAGAAAATGGGTGTTAATGGATGTTTGTTTAAGGTATTTGGTGGAAGGGAAAAGGTGTGGATGGTGGGAATTATGGTGGATGGATGGTTTAGTGGATGTAGTTTAGGGTTTATTTAGGTGAATGTGGATGCATGGTTTAGTGGATGTAAAGGATAATGGGATGGTGTGGAATTAAAAGCTAAAAAAATGGGATAATGGGCATTTAAGTGTGAATGGAATGGTGGGATGCACTAATGGAAATTATGGAATGGAATGGTGGGATGCACTAATTAGGAGGAAGAATTAGGGTGAATGGCTTAATGCATGGATTTTGGGCCTAAAATGCCCCCCCTTGCATGGCAAGGGAAAGGACTTGGGCTAAAGCCCACGGCAATGGCTCTAAAATGGGCTAAGGTTAGGGTTTAGGTGCGGCATAGGCTTAGGTTCCACAAAGAGTT